GCAAAGCACAGGATTTTCTTCCCCTTGGTTTTCTCTCATGGCGGTAATAACACCCTGCCTTTTCTCTCACTTTTACCACTTATTTTTAAGTGACTTTCTATCATGAGTGGAAAAAGGCTTACCTTGTAGGAAAGTCATGGTCTGATTCTTACCATCTTCTCAACTCATCGTTGGAGGATGCGTTTGCATCCTAGCTTTGCCCTTATTAACACTGAGACTGGGCAAATTCATCTCTGTTTATCTGTATGTCTTTTCACCTTCAACATGGAGACAGTAATAAGACCCACTTCCACAAGGTTTTGTGAGTGCCAGTGCATGGCTATCGGTAAACCATCTGGATCAGTGCTTGGTATGTAGGAAGCACTGTGTGTGTTGTCCCCAGAGGCTCATCCCAAACTTGCCCGGACTCTGTACCCTCCTGAGCTACAGTTCCTCCTTCTAGAATAAACGCACTTCAGGTTCCCCTGGCAGTTCTCTTCATCTGTCAGGTGTCATCGGACCTAATAAACATTCCCAGGCCCCAAGAACACTTAGGTCTTGACCAAAACCCATTACCACGTATCACTCAATATCGCAGGTCTTAGGAATCGCCTCTGAATTGTGCACATCCATTTTGTAGTCCTGGGACCTAATACAGTACCAGATGCATAATAGATGTTCAATAATGAGCATCAAAGGCATGACTATGCTTCTCTCGACTATGTAGGGAATATAGATTACCCATTTAAGTACAAATATTTGCATAGCCTACAACTTTGGATTCTCTGCAGTGAGTTCATAGCAGAATTATATTCAATATTCAGTCAGATGAGTATCTTTGTGCTGCTTGCAAAATACAATGTTAGCCTCTGATAACACAGAACATTTCTAAGCCCAGGCTCAAGAAATGTTCATTGTCGGGAGTGTAGAGGTGAAAAGTGGACCACACATGCTTAAAAGGATTAGGAAGGGGAGCCTACATGTATCTAGCAAGCTAGAATTAACAATAGGGAGGGGCAAGGTCTGTGGCAAACTGGGAATCTGGAGATTTCTACCCTTTACAGTCCCATAGAAGTTTTGTGTGTGTGTGGTTTTGTTCGTTTGCTTTTTGCCTTCCTCATGTTGCTGGGCATTTTCTGCTTTGGACTATATATACCCATGTATGTATCTCATTGCTTCACTAGACCATGAACTCACTGTAACCCGTATGTATGTATGATTTTCTTGTAGACATCAATATAACTAGCATAGTCCCTTGCCCACAGTAAGCACTCACCAGATATTTCTTGGTGGTTTTCTTGAACACAAACTTTTCTCAGTGGTTCTTACGATAAGATTGTTCTTATCTAAGGATTGTGAAAAGCAAAATAAATAAATAAATAAAATTCAACTCTTAATTTGAAGTATACTGGCATGATGTCATTCATACCATTGAGTTTTGCTCATTTGAAGAAAACACACTTCGCACTTGCAAACCTTTTACCGGATATCAACCAATAAAACTTAGTGCACATAGCTGCAAGTTAAATAAGTTATTTCACAAGGGTTACCGTAACGTATCTCAAAACATACCTTGGAAATGTTCTTATTGACAGTAGACAAACAGCTCTTTCCTCGAAATGACCCTTTTTTCTGTATTTGGCAACTATTGTATTTACCACAGAAAATTAGCTACTTTCATAAGTCCTTCCATGACAGAAGTTAAACTTACGGGGGCCTTAGTTAATTGTAGAAAGGAGGCCATGATGCTATTTATGACACGAAGGTGAAGATGCCAGGAAATAGTTATTTTCTACTATTTAGCATACAACACACCTCAGGTAAATGAGAGGAAATTTCTTTCTTTATATTTCCACCTAATCTGCAATATGGAGGCTTGATGGGTTTTTTTTGTTTGTTTGTTATTGTTTGTTTGTTTGTTTTAGAGGTTTTTGCCATAGGGTGTGTGGGCTCACCAGACAGAGAGAGACAGAGAGACAGAAAGCGAGAAATCATCCCCCAGGGGAGATGGCCACGCCGTAATCCCTTCTCTCCTCCTTTCTCCTCTCGGGATCTTGGGTATGCACGCACATGCGCCCGGTGTGATTTTTAAGCCATCAGGTCCCGGACGCAAACTGTGGTCGACTACTGGGAGTCCAGCAACATAGCCATTATGCTAACTGCTGGTCCCCAAGTTTTGATGGTTTTTAAAGAGACAACCGAAAGTATTAGCATCAACGTGTGGTAGAAGCTATCCAGGTCATTAGCTGCTTGTTTACAATGATCAGTTTCATAATTAGACTTTTCATTGCCCTGTTAACTTTGTATTATGTACAATCAAGAGAGAATAAGTTAACATTTAATACAAAAAAAAAAAAAACAAAAAACTACATGGCATGAATTATTGAGCTTTTCCACAAACAAAATAGCCTTCAGAATGATTACCACTTCCTATCTCTGAGCATTAGGACTTTACATAGAGATCCAATGCTCCTTTTGAAAAATGCAGGTATGTGTTACAAGAACAGACATTTCCCTGATGCCTTAAGTTTTCCTGTTGCTATCACCTGGGTTACAGTAATGGACTTGTTCTACTGAGTACCTATCGTGTGCAAGGTAGTTTGCATTCTTCATTTCTAATCATTCATTTATTCAACAACTGTTAATTCAGCGCTTACTGCTTACCGGCACATGAGCTAACTACTGGTCTATAGCTGTGAGCCAGATCTTAGTTCCTGTCTTCTGGGAGGTCTGAGAGTGGTAGGAGAGGCAACAACCCACCAGATTGGTCATTTTATCTCCATTTTACATATGAGGAAAACAGGGTGAAGACTAACCCAGACTGTCTGTTACCCATATGCGCTTTCCACCAAGAAAAGCTGGTTTTCTCCACTCTGGCTGCTTAGTCTAATTTGGTTATCTTTTCAGGGTTGTTTGTTTTTGTTTTCGTTTTTTTATCAAGTAGTCATGAATACAGGATTAAAAATGCTTACTTTAGTGGGAAGGTTAAAAAAAAAATCCTGCTGCTTAAACCTCAATGCTCTCAATCTTTTGGTCATATAAAAACAAGTATTAAATGTCAGTTATATTTTGGATTGAGCTCTGGTTTAAACAAAAGATGCAAGCCTAAACAAGACTTACAACCCCAATTTTCTAGGCAGATGAGAAACTACTGGAACTAAATTGCAAGGTGAAGGGCTATCGCCGATGTGATTCCTAGGATATGCAGAGGGAGTTTTTTTATTGCTATTGGTTGGTTTTTCCTCTACTTTTTCTTGATTGTTTCACATTGTGTCCCATGACAAGGATGGGACACAGCTGGCAAGAAAGCTATGGGAGGGAATATGGTTCGAGAAGCACACAAAGAAAAATCTTGCAGACTCCAGCTAGGCTAGGCCTTGCCCTAGTAAGCATTTTTACTTTCTTTGGCTATGCCTACATAAGATCATTGCAGTTAATTATCAAGTGAGTGTTCCAAGTAAAAGATGATTGTTCTAAAGCTTTTCCTTTTTTTTTTCTTGTTGCTTCTCTGCCATCTCTCCCATCTGATATAATTTAACCAGACTCCTCAGGACTCTGGTAATGACCATCTGGAAGGCACAAAGCTCCAGGAAGACAGAAAAGGGCACCAAAAACACTTGGTCAGGTCACTTTCCCATTTGATCCTTCAATGTGGCTCTGCAAAAAAGCATAGCCTCGATTGTTGCAGTAACTTACTAATTGTCCTTACCTGCAGGTGCTCACCCTATTAACCATTTCACAAACCCTAGTGTTATTTTCCTAGAATACTGGGTCATGTCAATTTCTAGGTGAAGGCCTCTTGCCGACCGCCCCACGTTCAGAGGGAAGCCTGAATGCACAACGGTGACATGGAATGCCCTTCAGTCTGGCCTAATGCCCACCTACCTTTCAAGTCCTATCTTGCCCTTATCTTTCTAGACCAGAGACACAGAATCACTCTGTGTTCCCTGAGGTGGTGATGCCAGGCCTCTATGTCTTTGCACAAACGAATGCAGCTGTTAGCTATATCCATTCCTCCCTCTGAAGACCCACAACAGTGATCCCGCCTCAGTAAAAACTTGGCTCATCTTGTAGGCAGCTTTGGTCACTCTCACTGCTTTCTCAATATTTTGCACATAATTTTATAATAGTACTAAGATCTTCATGGCTTAATTATTTGGATTTTCCAAATAGAATCTCTAACCATTCCTTTTCCCTAACCCCAACCCAAACTCCTTTATTACCATGCATGAGTCAATTTCCCCACAAGGGGGATTTTATGGATTAATCCCTCATTAAAAAAAAAAAAAAAAGATCAACTGTTATCATTCACCTCAAGATTTTATTGCCTTCATAATTAAATAAAAGATAAAGTTTAGAACTGGATCGTTGGCTCTCTTATCTACTTCCAGTTCCAAATGTTTGCATCTCTTAGTGGACAGCATTGGAGCTCAACACATTCAAGCCTCAGCACATTCTTTGTGGATTTTGCCTGGAAAATGGGCTTAGTCTGCCCACCCTAGCCACTGTTTCCTGTCCTAACGCTGCTTTCTCTGAGCATAGAGAAACCTTGCCCTTTCTGTACTGTCACTTTGTGGGTTGGTGCTTGCCACCCTTTTTACAGCAAGTCCAGTGGGTTTTAGTGATGTTCACATTTGCAGGCGTCCTATCTGCACAGAAAGAGGCCGTGCCGGAACCCAAAGTCCTCTTACATCACTCGTTTTTCTGATTTTGACCCGGTGTAGAGCAGGGCATCAGTAAAATGTCTGTTGGTGAAGCCCAAGTTAAAAACAATGACACACATTAAAGAAACGATGCAATTATTTCATACCAGTTTATTGTAGTATCATGTTTCAAAAATTTTATAGCATAAATAATGTTTCATGTCATAAAATAACTTAGTACAATTTATAATAAAACTTTGAGAATTTAACATCTCATCAAAATACAATAAAATATGGTTTTAAAATAGGATTAACCCTTTTGGCTTTTCTTTTACTTGAGGGCATAGAAACCAAAAATACCCAAACTATTGCTGCACATTTAAACTTGAACAAAGCGTATTTGGTTTATTTAATGTAACTCAACCATCCTAAATTAATACATAGTTTTCCTTCCTGCGTGGTTCTTGGTAATTTTTGTTCCTTTTGACTTGTATTTGTTTCAACACAGCTTCCTTCTTCATTTTCACCTCTTTCCATCTGCAAAGTCATCTATCGCCGGGCCCCCAGAACATGTAGTTGAACTCACTCAGCCCCTTGACATCAGTTTCTGTAATCCTTGCATCAGTGTAGGGAGTAACTGCTTGAGTAACTACAAAGGTATTTCAAAACTTCAGTGCAATTTGGTTCAGTTATTTTCATTCAGATGCCATCACCGTTCAGGAAGATTAATCACTGGAACCCACTGATCCATGTAGCGACTTTCCCGGCAAAAACAAATAAGCTGACTTAAGGCAGGATCCTTCCATTGTGATGAGTGTGGATTCTGGGAACAAATTTTGAAAAATAAGTTTACTATTAAAAAAAAAATCAGCATCTGCTAATAATTACACTACTTTTGAGAGAAAAACACTTGAACCTTCTCTATTTTGGCAAGCGACAGGGAGACAAGTTACAAGCACAAGAAATGAAATTTCTTCTAGGTGGTTGGGTTTCCTGCAAGATAATGAAGGGTAATTACCTACTAAACTAACTCAGCAAAGTCTGAACACATGCAACCCACTCTGAGTCACTTAGTACATTGCATACGATCTATTCAGTTTTGCACGAGAGTATCATTCACAGGTTTTCTCTACCGAACTTGTAACCCTGGCAGAATCCTGAGTGAAACAATTCTGAGAAATGTTCCATGCTGTGTGAAGAAAGAGATGGGAGCTGCACAGCATTAACCGGAATTGTCACTGGTTATCTTCCCAAAAGATAAAGCAGTGCTTTTCAGGAGCTAGCAAAATAATGAAGCTGCCACTTCAACTAGACCAGTCAAAGCTACCTACCTACCTACCAACTTGTTTTAATTTTTAATCAGAAAAATAAGCTCCATTACCAAATGCTAGGCTGCAGAGCTTAAAAAAAAATTCCACTCCATCCTTTTAATGTATTTCTAGGGAATTAACAAGGTCTGTCGCCTACATCACTGCTATTTTTAGCTTCGACTGGCAGAGAATGGAGCTGGCTCCTTAATGAGGGGTGAGCCGGGAATTTATTTGGCTTTATCTAATCTGCCCTGCTAAAGGAATTAGTCACGGGAGGTAGTGCAGATGTAGGTAGGGAGTAGCTGCGCTGACTGCTGACTCACAGGGATCTCTTCCGCTGCTGGCAGCCTCCAGCACGCTCAGACATGTTCTGTACCCGAGAAAATCCCGATGATGAAACTAGTACATCTCGGCCGAAAGTCCAGCCACACTCTTCAGTGGGGCAAAGGCTGCCACCCTCTGACCACCACCCATTCCGGATCTGCCGTCAGGCAGGAAACTCTCAGGCTTGGCTCCCTTCCCGGCAGGGGTCTGCCCCAGGGGCCTGCGTCGCCTTGTCCCTTACCGTCACCAGCACGCAGTGCAGGTCCGGGGGCTGCTCGGCGCCCTCGCTGGCCGCCGGGCTCGCGTCGCTCTCCAGGAGCAGGAGCTCCGCCAGCCGGCCCGGGTTGCTGACGCGCAGGATGTTGATGTCGTTCTCGCAGCAGAACGCCTGGATGAGGGTAAAGTGGATTTGCAGGGCCACGTCCCGGTCGTCGTCCTCGTCGGCGGCCAGCAGGCACAGCACCACGTTATCCGGGTCGCTGCGGGCAGCGGGAGGAGCCAGTGAGAGCCGAGGCCCGACTGGGCGCCGGTAACCCACGCCGAACCCCCGGGTTCCCTACTGCCCGCCGGCTCCCCCTGGGGCCGGGAGCCGCCAGGGCAAATGGAAAGCGGCAGGAAGCGGCGCTGCAGGGCAAGGGGCACGCGGTCTGGAGCGGGAAGGGGTGACACGAGGCGACAGGCGAAGAGCCCCACTTACACGTTCAGCAGCTTGGCCGCCTCGTACACCCCGACCGTGATGGTGCGCTGACTCAGGGCTTTGCTGAGCACTTCCTCCAGGGCATCCCCCACCTTATCCATCCTGCAGGAGAGCAAAGGCGAGGGGTCCTGTCAGACGGGTACCCTCCGGGCTGTCGCTGCCCCCTTGCCGTACACCACGACCCTTCCTCCCGGGTGCAAGCGCCGTCCGCACCTGGGCTTGCCGCAAACCCCAGGCGTCCCCGACCTGCTCACCCTCCATGACCTCTCGCACGTGAGGGCTCTCGCCCCCTTCCCCGAGGACACTGCCACAGACTGCCAACCGCCAGAGCCGTACTGGCAACGACAGCCGCTTCTGTCGCAGCCGGGCTCGGCGGGTTTGCGGGGCACGCTCTTGCCCGGCGCGGGTGCCCCACGGAGCGTCCCGAGAGTGTCAAGAGCAGGCCATCTGCAAACTTCGCTCGCTTCCACAGCCGCGCTGCACTGGGCGACCCAGGGGAGCTTGGCCCGGACAAGTCCGCGGCCCGACCTACCTTTCGGTCTTCTGCTCTCCAGCCGAGAATTCCTCCAAAGTCATATTGCAACTGCAGGTCCCTCACAGAGAGCGCGGCGTGCGGGTTGCTCCTGCCACCGTGTGCACGCGGGCGCCTGCTCTCTGCGCTCGCTCACAGGCACTGTGCAGCCAGTTCCAGCCCCGCTGTCCGGCCGCCCCTCGCCCTCTCGGGCTCCTCCTCCTCCAGCGCCCGCCGCGGCGTCCTCTCCTCCCGCCCGACTCGTTCTCTCGCTCTCAAGCCCTCACCACCAACACCAGCCGAGATACCAACGCCACAACTGCCTCACAACCACTGGAGGACAAAGGGCTCCGGGGCCGGAGTTATCCAGCCAACCCTCAGCCAACCACCTCCCGTCTCATTTGCATAAGGCGCGGCCATTGGGCTATGCAAATCAGCCTGCTCGGGCAATTTGACCCAAGGTCCTGGAACCAGGCGGAGAGAAGCGGAAGGGGGAGGAGCTACGCAAGAGGCTAGAGGAGGGGGCGGGGGCGGTAAAGAGAGGAGAAAGGAAGGCGGGGTCTGCTGTGGTGGGGGCCATCTGGAGTGGAGGGCTTTGTAGTGGCGGGTGGTGTCTTCAGCTGGGCTGAAGCAGGCTGCCAAGTGTTTTTCTAGTTGGTTCACATTCTCTTATTATCGTTTCATGTCTTTTTGTTTTAAGGGGTTATTAAAATCTATTTCCAGGGTTAATGTATCCAAGTCTAGTAATTATTAGTAAGACGGTTACATTTAAAAAAAAAAGAAGTCCGGACCTCTGGGGCAAAGTTTACCTCAGAAGTGTTGTTTATATAAGTCTGGGCAAAGCTGCTTATTAGTAGTAGTATTATTTCGGTGCCCTGATGGCTGGTTTGATTTATTTTTGGAAGCTTGCAGGGTTTGGAAGCTCAAAAAAGAAAAAGCAACACATTTGTGTGCAATGATGGCAGGGACCCAAGTTGGAATCTTTTCTGTAGAAGGGCTTCCCACCTGCCCAGTGAAACGCTGGAAAACCAGGAGCTGGTGTATGGAGAGCTCACAGCGTGTGTGAGTCCCAGCCTGCAACCCAAGTCCACTTTTCCCAGAGAAGGACCCGCCTGCACTCTCGCCAGCTGAGGGACAAATATCTGACACCCACACAAGTCACAGTCTTAGCTTCAAAATGCTCCTAATATGCCCTAAGCTTCCTTTCATAGGGCAAATGAGTACATCACTACCTTCCACAGAGAGCTTATGATCTCACTATGAATTATTGATGTTCGATGCTGAATCATAAAGCTGTAGCTATAGTACGTCTTAGTCATATGCTAAAATTTCACCTTTGTGATAATGGCAACTTGTAGGTGGAAAGCAGGCCTTTATAACTGCAAGCAGCAGTTACACATTTTTGAAAAACAATCTTTAATGGATAAACTCTTAACTGACTAGTTCGAAAGTCTTTCCCTTTGTCTTACGAGTTTATACAATAAATGCAAAAACATTTCTTAAACCTACTAAAGTCACCGAAAGTGATGAAAAATATCACCTACGTGCTTGCATTTAAAGGGCCAGCAGGTGGCATGATGATTAAAGATGCTGGACTCACACAGTCGGCCACAAATCGAGCCGGAACTGGTGGCTGGAAACTCACACCAGGCGCAAATACCTACATGCACAAAATCCTGAGAGGAGAATGGAGGAGAGGGCATTGTGTGGCATGGGCACCTCCCCCTCTCCCCGGAGTGGTGGTGGTGGGGGGGAGATTTCTCACTTCCTTCTTATTGTCTCTCTCTGTGTCTGGTGATCATGTGCACCCAATGGCAAATACCTAGAACAAACAAACAAAATAGCATTTGCATTACTGAAGTCATCACCCTAGAGCCAAAAGTTTACAGAAATAATTTTTTTGAGAGTACATGAGAGTTTTGCACCCTTATGTTTACCCTTATCTTTTTATCATTCTAGACAAAATATTCTCCAGCTCTGTTGATTTTAATTTGGTAGAAAAGAAAAGTGATAAGTGGGCTTTCTGGTTCATTTATTTAAGCTGTCGCTTTGCATTCAATACCTAACTGCACTGTCAGCAAGGGACAATGTTTGAGTAAAGGAATGGTCATGGTCCGTGCATAACTCGCCCAAGGGTGCTTGGGTGTCTCATATCTATCTTAGATCCTAACATATGATGTCTTTATAATGAACTCCTCAACAATGAAATTTAGGCAGGTACTGAGACATTTTCAGTTTTGCAGACAAAACTTGAATTACGCAATCGGACCTGAGTCATCGTTCGGAAATTGTTGAACTGTGCTCTGTGGAACTCTAAGGTGCTATCCACGAGGCAATTCTTAGAGGCTCTTTGGAAGGAAGTGTGATCACAGCAAGCCAACAAAGAATTTGGGAATCCTGTGAGTTTCGTGATGGCAGAGACTATGACTTCATTACCTTGGGGGCCTCACAATATACCCAACACAATTTCTGCAGTGAAAAGCTGCACAGTCAGTGTTACTGACCTGAACAGAGTCAGATGGATAAACACAAGCTCAGACTCCTGCAGTCCTGTGCCTCACATCAATTCTTTTCAAGATAGTCTACCTTTAACTTTTATTAAAAGAAGAAAAAAAACTTTTTGATAGTCTATATACCAAGAAATATGTAATGCCTGATCCTTTGCCTTTAAAGAGCATATGATCTAATTGGTATGTCCACGCTTGAACTGGATTTGGGGACAAAATAGTATGCATTGTCATCAGCTAACTCTGCTGAAAGTCCCATGACTTTAGTCATCTGAATGGAAGCTGAAGGACAGTAGAACCCATGTATTGTTTACACTGATTCGAATGAACCACAATCCTAACAGTGCCCCACCCAAGTCAACTACATGCAATAAAACTGTATAAAATGATTACTTCTTAATATAGGCTTAATCCCTCACTCTGAAACTATACTACATACTATATTTGGTCTCATGGGAAAGTTATTTGTTCAAGTGCTTGTGGGGGTTTTCTCGGTGAGATAAGCTCGGGCTTCCAGTATTAAATATTCATCTGTCATACTTTCTGACTCAGATGTGTTACATCATTTTTGCCTTATTACTAAGCCTACCTGGAATGTTTCATCAGTGAAACATACTCAAAACTGAGCCTGGTGGCTGGAAGTAGAAACTGCATTTATCTACACAGTTAAATTGCAGTTACACATCAGAATGGTCACAGATGGTTTATTTCATAACTCTATAATTAAGTCTGGGGAGAGTTAATATCAATGTTAGCACTAGTAGTATCAATCGGAGAAGTTTCCCCAGTTCAGTGTAACAGGTAAGTGGATAGATAAAGACATGGATAACTTTATAATCAATGTAAGAACTCTGATGTGCGAAGTCATTTTTATTTATTTAATTTTAAGGAACTATTTAATTAATTAATTAATTTATTTTTAAATTTGCTACAGAGCACATGTGCTTACCAGAGAGAGAGAGAGAGTGGGAGGGAAAGTGAGAAAGCAAGCTGTCAGGTCCAGAATTTGAACTTAATTGCGGTCAGTCATATGGAAATCCTGTGCCTTAACCACCACGCCACCTGCTGACCCTGAGAAGTCACTTTTAAAACTACTCCAGGAAGCCCTGAGAACGGAAAATGCACAAGACTAGAATGACTTTGTAATAATATTTGCAAGGATGCCATAGTTATATCTGGAAATCAGATGGAAATATGTACTAAGAATGGTTTTATTATTTTAGCACAGCTATCTGCTTTGCATATTAGAGATCTTTTTGATATTTCTGTCACGTTGATCATACATAAATTCCTACTATTGTTTGTATAATACAGAGTTATAATGTTTCTTTACAAAAAAGCCAATGGTTGAACATCTGAAAAACATATGAAGTTTGTCATTTCAGTAGTGGATGGAACACTGTTCACGTTAAAGCACACATCAGTTAGACTATGACAAGTGTATTTAGTATCTACCTAGAATTGCATTATATTTGATCATTAAAAATTACAAGGTTCCTGAGTCAGGCTGTGGCTGTACCGGGTTTGCTACAGAGCACATGTGCTTACCAGAGAGAGAGAGAGAGTGGGAGGGAAAGTGAGAAAGCAAGCTGTCAGGTCCAGAATTTGAACTTAATTGCGGTCAGTCATATGGAAATCCTGTGCCTTAACCACCACGCCACCTGCTGACCCTGAGAAGTCACTTTTAAAACTACTCCAGGAAGCCCTGAGAACGGAAAATGCACAAGACTAGAATGACTTTGTAATAATATTTGCAAGGATGCCATAGTTATATCTGGAAATCAGATGGAAATATGTACTAAGAATGGTTTTATTATTTTAGCACAGCTATCTGCTTTGCATATTAGAGATCTTTTTGATATTTCTGTCACGTTGATCATACATAAATTCCTACTATTGTTTGTATAATACAGAGTTATAATGTTTCTTTACAAAAAAGCCAATGGTTGAACATCTGAAAAACATATGAAGTTTGTCATTTCAGTAGTGGATGGAACACTGTTCACGTTAAAGCACACATCAGTTAGACTATGACAAGTGTATTTAGTATCTACCTAGAATTGCATTATATTTGATCATTAAAAATTACAAGGTTCCTGAGTCAGGCTGTGGCTGTACCGGGAACACAACTGGACCAACAATGGAAAGGTTCCGTGTTCCTGCCCCGGGACCTCCCTGAGCACACTGGAACTGTGATCCAGGCCACCAGAGACTAGGAGAGGATTATGGTATAAAGACCCTGCTAGGTGTGGCTTTCTGTCTCTGTCTCTCTCTCTCTCTCTCACGGGAAAAAAAAAAATTTTTTTTTGGAGAGGTTTTTGCCATAGGGCGCGTGCGCTCGCCAGACAGATAGAGAGAGACATAGAGACAAAAAGCGAGAAATCACCCCCCGGGGGTATGGCCACGCAGCAATCCCTTCTCCTCCATTCTCCTCTCGGGATCTTGGGCATGCACGCACATGTGCCCGGTGTGAGTTTTAAGCCACCAGGTCCGGGACATGAACCATGGTTGACTACGTGGGAGTCTAGTGACATAGCCATTACGCTAACTGCTGGTTCCCAATAAATTTTAAGACTGAGGTATCTGACTTTCTTTCTTTTTTCTTTTTTGCATAAGTCTGGTGAAGTTATATTTTCAAAGCAAACCTGTGAATATCCCCCATTTCCCTCCCCCCCCCAGCATTCAGACAAGATTTATTGTCATCTTTTCATCAAATCAATATTTCTATTTGAATTTAATATGAGATATAGTTCTTTCTCTCTCTCTTTTTTTTTTTTTTTTTTTGTGGGAGGGTGCTTGTCATAGGGTGTGTGTGCTTGCCAGAGAGGAGAGAAACAGAAAGATAGAGAGAGG